AAAAAATTGCTTTTATCAGAAAAATAAAAGTCTGGAATTACGAGGGAGAGTTTCAAAGTTTGGAGGAATACTATCCAATCAGTATATACTGGGTTGAGAGTCAATGTCGACATCTCCCACACTCCAAAAAGTTCCGAATTGTTGCCCAAAGGCAAGGGAAGATCAATCGGTATTCATTATTTTACGTTGCTTCTTGTGTTTGTTTTGTGAGGTGTTTGTTGTTCGAACATAAAAATCTTTCGCGAAAGTGTTCGTTATCTGATTTGTTCATTAACCGATCACCCACTGTATATAGTATGAGGAAGAATTTAGTATTTTAAACTCCTCCCAAAAAAAAAAATGTATATATAATTGTTGTTTAATTCTGTTTTGTATAAATTATTTTATTTACACACTGTTTTATTGTGTCAAACTTTTTTAAGATTCTGTTTCTTGAATATAATCAAATGTTTTTGAACAAAGAGTTAAAACAAGAAAGACTAACTAAAAATGAAATTTTAGAAGTACATCATCAAGTAAAGAAAGAAATTTGATTTTGGCATCTTATGATTTGAATTAAGAATAACTTTATTGACTTGTATTAAATTTCTTTGGTATATTTACTTAAATTTACTCTTATTATGAGATGATTAAAAAGTGCAAATCCAATAATCAAGACATATTTTCAAAGATGAAAATATAATGGATTTATCTTTAATCATCATACTATCTCAAACAAAATCACCCAGCATTTCCTGCATTCATCTGTAATGAGCATATCATTCTGTCATCATGTCTTCAAAAAATTTTTGTTTCTGTTGCTGCAGTCATCTGGCAGTGACTGCTTTCATTTCATTAATTGAAAACAGAAACTAAAAAGAAGAGAGACCAAATTTGGGCTGTATGGAAGAATAATGAACTTCTCATCAAAATACCTGCAGAAAATCTACAGTCTGTCTGTATGCAAAGTAAGGCAATTTGCTGCAAGGTGATCTAAACCAGCAGTTGGCAACTAGTGGTCTATGGATCATTGATGGTCTGCAAGAAAATTTGGGTGGTCCATGGAGAAATTTGGACATTGATCAACTGGAAGTCACTTGAAGTATTACAAAAAAAATGCAAAATGCTTAGTTGCATTTTTCACTCATTGGGGAGTTTTTTATTCAAATCTAAAACCAAATATGAAGTGACTGTTATCAATAAATAATGAACAATAAACAGTATTGTGAGTGCGATTGTCATCCTTAGTGGATAAATGCTAAGAATCCATAAACTTATTTCAAACAAGCAGCAATGAACTATAGGCTTGCATTAATTTGTTATAATTAAACAAGCAAGTTTTATATTAATATAGTAAAATTGAACTTTTATGATCATTATTCTACAGATTTTGTATTGTTTAAAAATTTCATGATAGTGATTCGCAGGATTCAAAATTTGAGTTTTGTGATCCACGAGGTCAGAAAGGTTGTGGACCACTGATCTAGCCATTTCATCAATTCTTGTGACATTAACGAAATGGTACAAGAATTGATTGTTGAGCAGCTTGGACACCCATTGTTGCTTTTGTTGCTCACATTTTTTTGTCCACATGTAAGCTTCCAACACTATTCTGCAACACTTTGATTGGACTGACATTGTCTCTATGTACCTTGACAAGCTGGTGATGGATTTCAGCAGGTGAAATCTTTTTGTGTGCTTTTTCTCACAAAAATTGAATAACTGAAATTTTCAAGACCACTTTTCTGACTTTGTTGTCATTTAGAAATGCTAATTCACAACTTTCCCATATTTATACATCATTTTAACCGTTCACTATTGTCAGTCTGGATCATTGCAATCTTCCTACGCAGGATAATTGATAAATTGTTTTTCAAAGTATTTACATTAGAGTTACACTCAATAGCACTTTGGTTTTTAGTTAAATTGTAGACCTTTTAAAGTTACTGTTTGAACACCCCAATACATATTAAAGACATAATAAATATATATTGGGCCTTTAGTATAATGCTGGACAATAAGCAGATGAGCTAGGATTGAATCTCAGTGGCAACAAGTTTCTACCTTTTGCAATTTGTTCGGATCCAGATTCCACCCGGCCTTCTTTCCAACTGTATCTGGAGCCTGATCTTTAGATGTAAAGTCGTTGTGGGGCCGGCTAACCCACCTGCTTCCCTGGCTTTCCATAAATAGGTAGGGAGGAACATACACCTTCCACAGCATCTTAATGGTGCACTAGAAAGGGTTCTTTTATCTTTTATTTCTATCTTCTTGATCTGACTGTTTAATGTAGGAAACATTCAAAACTCATAGTATCACTTATGAGTTTTGAACAATGTAAAATAACAAACAGCAAAGAATTTGTTGTTGCTTATGTGTTTTATATAGTTACTAGCTGTTACCCGCGACTTCGTCAGCGGAGGTTTTGCAAGCAAACCCCATTTACATCCAATATTTCAATAACCATAGTAATTGTTATATAACACCTACCGCTGAAGAGAATTGCCGAAAATCAAACGAACTATTTTCAATTTGATCAATTTTCTGAAACGTTTACAATCGTTCTATAATCGAACCAATACGCAATAACAAATTCGAATTTAAAAC